CCATCTTTCTCCCTCCTTCTCCTCTCCCTCCCTCTCATTCCCTTCCTTCCTTCCCATCTCCTCCCTCCCTCTCTCATTCCCTTCCTTCCCTCTCTCCTTCCTTCCCATCTTCCTCCCTCCCTCCCCCTCCTCTCATTTCCTTTCTTTTCCCTATTTCTCTCTCTGGCCCTCCTTTCACTGCCACCTTGCTGGGCAGTGCTGCTCCCTCCTCCTTCACCTGCCTCTCTCCCACTTGGCCCCCACTCCACTGCTTGCCCTCTCTCTGGTCACGGACCAGCAGTGGAATGGATCACGGCCAGTGGCAAGGGGGCACTGCTGCCAGGCCTCCACGTTGAGAGGACCACAGGTAAATCCCCTGCGATGCGATGCTGCCTGCTGGGTCCCCCTTGACCGCTGCCTCCCTGGCCCTCGACAGCGGCCGAGATGCATCTGGCCAGAGGAGGAGGAGCCATTGAAATGGTGGAAGCCAGAGTACATCACTGGGGAAAAGGTTGCAGTCTGAGATGCAAAGCACATGTACGCATTTTCTCTCTGCTGCAGATTTTCCTGAATCTTTTATTTCCTGAAGGGTCTAGGCTGTTTTCTGGAGGATTCTGCTTCCCAGGCTCTTAATTGGTTCGCCATTCTTGGCTCTGAGTTCTCTTTCAGAATTAGACCTCTTGAACAGCTGTCAAACTTTCAGGGCATTGGGACTGGTTCATAAGAGCCATGTTTAGTGGCAGTGATATTTTATAGAAGCAGTTTGTTTCATTTTAGTATGATATTTTTTAATTAATTTTATTTTTTATTTGTTAATTACTTACAAGATAATAGGTATAAGTAAAAACAGTTATGAATACATGGATACATATAAGAAAAATAAAAAAAATAGGACAGGAAACAATAGGACAGGGACAGTAGGCACGTTGGTGCGCTTATGCATGCACCCTACTACTGTCAATCATAGACAGTCTAAGGTTAAAGTTTGGGGGGGTTGGTATGCTCACATTCCCGTAGGATTTCTTCCTACCACAACATCCGTCACGCGTGAACTGGAACATCTGTGTGATTGGGATAATAGAAATTCATAAACATAATAAATGACCCTGGCCTATTTAGCTGATCTAGCATTTGCAAAATCCTGAGGACATAGCACAATATTAAGATTCTGAGTTTAGATTTATGTTGCTACTATTGCAACAAATGAGCATATCCTAAAATTGTCTCAATATTAAATTGTACATAGTTTAAATATCCATTTTATACCTATCTAGCTGAAATACATAAACAATATTGATCACTCTGTTTAAGTATGATTGTTCCTAATTTGGTAAGACTTTCAGGTGCTTTTATGTGGCCACAGTTGCATCTTTGCTCACGGGCAGCAGGAGCTGCTCCTGTTATTGAGTGAGAATGCAGGAAATAATATCTAAGAAATAAAAACTTACAATGCGGATCCATGGATGCTTCCAGGATTTCATTTATAGTAACTTTCGGCAAAGAATAAAGCCCATTAAGAGTCTATTTATTTATTGATAGACTTGGGGAGCAAGCATCAGCATCATCAGAACAAAGGCCAAGCAAAGGAAGGGCTAAAACAAACAAACCCCATTTAAGGTAAAGAAACATTCTGTACTGGAAGTAATAGCTGATTGGAAGCTAATGAAGAAAATTTTGAGTAAAGTCCTAAGGGGACTTGGATGTGGTAATAATGTTCTAGGAGTTATAAAGTATAAACGTTTATTATGCCTGGTGAGAAGAGATGAAAGGTGAGGATATTCCAAATAAGAAGATGAAAGCATGGAAGAGGTATATGTTTAGAAGTGAGACATCTCTCCCCACCTTCCAGCCCATGTATTACTCATGAATATAGGTTCCATGCAATTAAAGAAGATGGTAATTCTTTTTTTAATAATAAAAACAAAAAATAAAACCATCTTTCAGTTATATAGTATGTCATCTGGGTACATATATCTTGTGTACATATTAATATTTGTATACATAGGTTCTGCCAATTTTGATAGCTTCCCCAGCCTCTGATGTTCTTAGAAGGGAAATTATTCATGTAGCACTTTTTGTTCATAGACACACACTTCAGTGAAGTGGAGCTTCTTTATGCTATTTTAGGGGGTCATAAAGACCAGTCAGACACTTTATTATGTTTTAAGAGTGATGTCTTTTGACTTCATTGTTGTGTTTGCTTATAGTTTTAGAATAATAAACATCACAAAACTATGTTGCTTTTTCTTTTTTAATTGTGTAACTTATTCTGTTGTTACCCACTTTAAGCCAGATTACAGGTTGGGAATGTGCAGAAACTAAATGAACTCACCAATTGCATCAAAATAAAAGATACAGGATATATAGGATTAAAAAAAGTTGATATTAAATGTGAATTGGATATTACATTTATATAAAGTAAGAATATGTGTTTCAAAATAAATATAATACAGGTAGTTCTCAACTTACGACACAATTCAGCCTAAAATGTTGGTTGCTAAGTGAGACAGTTAAGTGAATTTTTCCCCATTTTACGACCTTCCCTGCCATAGTTGTTAAATGAACCACCACAGTTATGTTAGTAACACAGTTGTTAAGTGCATCTGGCTTCCCCATTGACTTTGCTTGTCAGAAGATTGCAAAAAGTTATCACATGCCTCCAGGACACCGCAGCCGTCATAAATATGAGTCAGCTGCCAAATGTCTGAATTTTGATCACATGACCCTGGGGATGTTGCAATGGTTGTAAGCGTGAAAAATGGTCATAAGTCAGTTTCTTTCAGAGCAGTTATAACTAAAAGAACTGTTGCAAGTCGAGGTTTACCTGTACACAATATGCTATGTAAAAGACTTATTCTTGAAAGGGGAAATACTAGCAGAAATGGTGCAGTTATTATTTTCAACCAGTAGAGGGCACTGTGCACACTTACATATATCATTAGAAAGTGTTTTTCCCACTTCAAATAACAGAATAACAGAGTTGGAAAGGACCTTGAAGGTCTTCTAGTCTGACCCCCTGCTCAAGCAGGAGACCTTATACCATTCCAACAAGTGAAACAAAATACAAATTTTAAAAATACAACAGATTTTAAAAATACATATAATAAACTAGAATGTAATATTGCCCACAAAAGAAACTTATAATCCAGACTAATTTTGTATTAGAAATGTAATAAGACTTTCAACAATTATTTGCTAGGTTTCATGCACTGTATGGATTTTCTTAAAGTGCTTCAGTATTTTGTTCCTTAGCACTAATTATTTTTTTCTACCAGGAGATTTTTCCATAAACTGCCAAATTTTTGGTGTTGTGGTGTAACAAATAAAAGGCCACTCCTTTGCATTTAGAATGACACAACTGTGTTGTGATGAAGAAGAAAACATGTTCTAATAAACATGTTTTAATAAAGAACCTTGAGATGATGCCAGTCTCGAAATTAATGATTAAGTCAGACGATTTTTGGAACCCTGACAGTTGTAAGTAAAAAGTTCATTATTATGTTAACTCTTGTACAAAACAGCACCTGAAACAAAAATTAAGTGGATATGAGGAACCTTTCAGTTATAGCACTTGAGCTCAGGATATAATTTGCTTTATAGGAAGTAAAAAGGAACAAAAAAAGCAAAACCAGAAGAAAATAGAAAAATGTTGAGAAACAGTCAAAGACATCACGAACCGAAAGCTATTGTGTACTGTACTCAAATCAAGCATCATGATCTGGTTGTTCCAATTTGCATGGATGACACTGACTGATGCCTTTCATTTATCACTGACTGGAGAAACCCTTCACAATAAGTTCAGCTTCCCATTTGTCTCCAGGTGATGAAATAGAAAAGATATTAAAGAGACTGCCGGAACAAAATTGAAAAACTGCAATGTGGGCATTGCTACTAAACTGAACGTTCTTTTTTCTAAAAGAAAAAAGTGTGCGCAACTGTGTTCTGGATCAGTTAATACTTATGAGTGGTTTTCAAGCCTGTGTAGAGCTGCAATCCAACTGGAAATGACTAAGGTGTGAGTGATGGTAAGCAAGGCCTCTTGATCCAAGAATGGGCACAATTGGCACAAAAGATGTACCTGTGCAAATGCCCTCTAGCGGCGGCCTCTTCCTCAGGCTAGAGCTCTTGAGTCTAGGAGCACCCCAATTTTTGCACAGGCTCAGTATCAGGGAATGTAACCCTTTCCAGTAGGCAGTGTGCAAGCAACTGTAATCAATCAATGCCTTTCCATTCATAGAGCTATTTTCTCCCCTCTTATCATTTCCATGAATGTTGATGAGTAGAAGAGGATGTCTACTAACTTTGGTGCTAAATAACTCTAGAGAAAGTCACAATTATTCAAGCAAGCAAAACATAGGCGGTTTTGGTTCACATTTCATTTCTGTTCACACAGAAATGGTGGCCTGGGAAACTGGTGTTAATAATTAGGGGGTTCTACACAAAAACTCTGAAAACACAGAGGAGGGGCAGATGAATGGTTTGAATAAAAGTAACTTAGAAGAAATCATGTGGAGATTAGAATTTAATTTTGAAAATA